GAGCATTTTGTAATTATGTCCCTTAGCTATTACTACCTGGACTGCCCAATCTGTGTCATTATTTAAAATGAGGTTTATTCTTAGGTCCTTTAATTTTCTGTATGGGTGCCAGCAAACTATGGTGATTATGGCCTGATGGATGGATGGGTAGATTAGTGCTTTTAATTGTTCTTAATCGATGACACTGTAATTGTATTGTGATTAATTGTACAGAACCCTGTGAAGGATGTTATATTAATGTAGCTTCTTGTGGTTGCCAGTCTCAGTGAAATCCTGTCAGACTCTTTTTCCTGACACTATAGAGCCTAAAGAGTCTGCTAGAAAATCCAAAGGGGAAGACTTTAATATCCTAAGTGAAATCCTGAGATTCCCTTTTAAAAAGAAAAGCACCTCAGAGGGAATAGGGATGGTTCCCAAAGAATAATCTTAAACTGGAGCCCTTCCAGCTAACAGATCCCTTATGACTTCTTCATAGAACGCAGCCACTTGTAAAAATTTTCTTTTCCATGCAGTGTTTCTAAATTGTACACACATCCTATGGATCACTACTCTTTGTGGGGGAGTTTTTCTACAGTAGGCTCACTGGAAATCTCAGGTGCGAGCAAGTGTCTCCTTTTGGTGTAAAAGGATGAAAGGCTAGTACAGATATTGGTTAATGGAGTTCTTCAGTTCAAGTGATAGAGGCTCATGGTTTTAGTACTGACATCCCTCAAGTTTGAACACTGCCAAGTCCCCAGTAGCATACTTTGTACGTGTACTCCATGGTCATACAAGATTCTTTCGTATTAGCAATCTATGATATACCTGTCAGGTCATCTTATGTTAGTGGGAAGACTGCCATCTTGCAGGGAGTTGTAAGCATAAGTAAACTTGCACAAATTAGTATTGTATTACAAACAGAAGCTATTAGACCAGGTTTCTGTCACTCCCTTTAGCACCAGGAAGGGTTACAGCACCATTCCTAGTGCTTTTCAAAAGAGAAAACAGGCACCCTTTCAGTAAACTGCCCCATATACATATGAGTAACTGGTCCAGTACCCTTCCACCCAGAAAGAAGTCATCCCAGGTAGTGAATCTGAGGGGGACCTTCTAGTGGCAGTGCAGTCCAATCTCATGGTGCTATGAGGCTTATCTGAGATTTGATGTGAGTGGCCAAAACTCAATATTTTCCTCTCTTTTAGCCACAGCCTTTCACCTATTCATAACAGTGATTGAACTTTCTCTCTGGACTTTAATCTCCAGAGAGAAAGTGTTCCAGAAATCCTTTATCTGTGCTGTATTTGGAGACAAAAGTCTTGCTCACTTGCAGTCAATGGCAAAACTTCCATTAACTTCATTTGGAGCAAGGCTAGGCCCAAAGTTAATGAAACATGATATCCTTCAAGCCACATACAGCTCTCTTCAGATGTTTCAGCAATACCTGCTCTCTTTGGGTGATTAAAATAAACAAGAACACAGTGAAACAACCCAGTGGGACCACTTGGGATTGTTTTTCAGTGAAGAACTGAGGAAAGCCTTTCTGTGCTTGGATCAAAAAAAAAATAAATCCCAAGCAAAGTTTAGTCAGTTTTTCTTGAAAAAGGGAATGAGCCTTATAAAAACTTCGCTGCCTCAAAGTAAACAAAATGAATGTTTCTTTAGAGTCAAGAAGATTGGTTCCTCAAATCATTGGAAAAATATCCTAAGCATACCATGGACACTGTTAGGTGTCTGCAGTATCAGGTGAATGACAGAAGTCTAATGAATACCTGGCTCCTGGTGACAATACATGCCATCCTGTTGGGATAGGGGGCTTACTTGAAAGTTTATGTTGCACAAAGGAAATGGTCAGACCACAAATTCAGAGTAAACACACAGATTTTAGAAAAGAGAACAGCTGGATTTTTATTCCTTTTCCTCTTCTGCAAGCCTGTAATGATAAAATCAAAGTAATTGCAGGAGTTGTGGATCTCAACAAAGGGAACCAAAGTAGGAAAGCTCAAGAAGGAGATACTTTTCTTAGACTGGGAGCAAAAGAATTGAAACTGTCTCTGCTTTTTTCATGTAGCATAGTCAATATGGACTAGATCTTCAGAGGGTGTAAATCAGCAGGGCTCTGCTGAAGCACACAACATCTGATTCTATTTTCATTTGCACAGTTAATAAAATGTAAACTATGGGGTGAAGGGTTTCTACCTTCATCTAAAGTCCCATGCAAAGATAGATATGGATGAATCTTGCAAAGCTTCAATATTTCTTTCTCTCTTTTTGTTTTTTGGCTTTCAAAGCAGATTTATTTAAAACCTTGTGCTTGACTAATGATATTAGATTAAGCTTCTGAAAGTGTTGTTGAATTCATAATAAAACCACCGACAATGCACTGAAGAATTATCTCAACCCCAAGATCACATGGCTACCTTGTAATATAAAGATATGATCTATACCATATACATAGCTGTTCTGTTCAGGAAACAGTACTGTGACACTCCTCCCCCACACCACCACATGGCTGACTTTGAATCTATTCTAATTTTGGCTTGAATTCAAAGATTTACTTTGATTTGCTTCTTCTTA